GTTCGGAAGACCTGCCATCTTAACCCTTGTGACTGAGCCTTGAGGATTCCCTGGCTCTTAGGTCAGATTGCTTGGTGTCTGTGTATCCCCTGCTGACTGCCGAATTCCTGTTGTGAATTTACCTGATACACAGGGCCTTTTCTCAGATTTGTCTGTACCCTTGGTGTGCCTTGCTGAGCACCAAGAGATGTCAGCTAATGCTAAGAGCTCCCATCCCTGGCCAGTCCTCCCTGTGGCCTGTGTAGCTGGTCATTGTGTTCTACTGAAAATGCAAACTCCTAAGTTTTTGTCATTATTAGTGGTTAGACTCTAAGATCTCTAAGACAGATTCTCAGAAAAGTCTCTTGAGACTTGGGAAGGTATGTTTCATTTGCTTAAATGATTGTTAAATTGATCCTAGGTGGAATGCATTACATTTTAAGAGGAAGAAAAAGTTTACTCCACATTACATTTCTTCATAGTTAACTAGCCTATCATGACTAGAGAGGTGAAGTTTAAAATACCTCTAAAAGGGACCTATGTTTTCATTATTTATTGCAGTGTAATAAACCACTCTGAAACTTAGTAGCTTAAAACAGCAATTTATTATCTCATGATTCAGTGGGTTGACCAGGTGTTCTGTTTCATGTGGTGTCAGCTGGATGCTGGAATGGCTGTGGTCCTCTGAGGCTTGGATGGGAGCTCAGCTGGGACCCACTGGTTGCTTGGGTTGCCTTGTGCTATCTGGGTTCCAAAATGGAAGAAATAGATGCTGCCCAACCAATTAAGGGCTAGGCCCAGAACTAGCACAGCATCATTTCTGCCATATTCTAGCGGTCTAAGCAGTAATAGGTCCAGCCCAGAGTCAGTGTGGGAGGAGACCATACAAGGACATGAATACCTGGAAGTGTGGTTCGTTGGAGGTGATCACCAAAATAACAATTTACCGCAGTGTGCTCTCTGGCCCCTCACACGTGCAAAATATCCTAACTCACACGCAAGACCCGCACAAGTCTCACTCCATTACTATATCAGCTTGAGTCCAGGATGTCATCATTAAATCACCTCCAGGTGCAGATGAGGCTCTTTGGGTACAGCCGATCTCAAACCGAATACCTGTGAACTAAAGGGACAAGTTATTTGCTCTTCTCCCCCATCCAACATACAATGGTAAGGCAGGGCCAGGAAAACTGCAACAGGCGCTCTCCTTCAAAAAGGCTTTAGGAACTGTAGAGAAGTCAAAACCCTGATGCACTGCTGGTGGGAATGTAAAATGGTGCGGTCACTTTGGAAATAGTCTGGCGGGTCCACAAAACCTTAAAACATAGAGTTACCGTTTGACCCAGCGATTCCGTACATAAGCATATACTCAGAGGAAAACATGTCCACACCACAACTTGTACACAAATGTTCATAGCAACATTATAATAGCCAAAAGGTGTAAACAACCCAAATAGCCACCAACTGATGAATGGATAAATAAAATTAGTCGTATGTCCATACAATGGAAGGAAGTACTGATACCTACTACTATATAGATGGACCTTGGAAATGTGCTAAGTGAAAGAAGCCAGTCACAAAAAGATCACGTTATGATTTCATTTATGTAAAATGTCCAGAATAGGCAAATCTATAGAGACATGAAGTAGATGAGTGCTTTCTTAGGGCTGGTGGGGATGGGTGTATGGGAGGTGATAACTAAAGGGTACAGGTTACTTTTTGAGGTAATGAAAATGTTCTAAAATTGACTGGTTGTGTGTAACTATGAATATACTAAAAGGCTTTGAGTCTCAAACTTTGGGTAAATTGTATGGTATGTGAATTATATCTCAGTAAAGCTGTTAATAATTTAAAAACAGAGAAGGGGAAAATGGGAGACACATGGCAGTTTAACAAATGCCCCAGCTGAGTCTGATGCACACAAAGTTATTAGAACCACTGGTCTAATGGAAAGGGTCTATGAGGAACCACCTAGACTCTTCATGAAGGCTCTCAACAAAGGGTCATACAGCTATATCCTCGAGGCCACCTTTTACCGGCGGCACAGGATTTGATTTTTGCCCTGAGCCATTTCTTATTTTGAGCTTACTTTTTGCTAAGATGCTGAAATGAGGAATTGTTTTATTTTTGAACCCACCAAATCTGGCTCCTTTATATTTCTTCTAAATTTTCTTGAAAGGGAACCAAACAGTTCCTTTGTTCATCTCACGTCTCCTGTATTTTATCATAGGCAGCTGAAATGAGCCAGTTAATACTTTCAGCATTCTTCCTGGAGTTCTCCTTAGTCAGGACCCTGAGTTCATTAGGTACCCTTTCTATCTTCCACATTACTGCATGCAATGGGTTGGCTAATTTTTCTGCCAGTATGCAGCTTAGGTCCCCTTTCTTCAGCCACCAATAATAAATCTTTATTAACAGTTTCCTCAAGCCTGTTCCAGCTTTTGCCCACCACCTGGACCCAAAGCTAGTATGTAGTTTAGGTTTTTATTACAGCAGAGCCCCACTTCTGGTACCAGATTTTGTTTCACTTATCTATTGCTGCATAACAAATCACTCCCAAATTTAGTGGCATAAGGCAACAATTATTTTCTTGCTCACAATTTTGGGATTTGGCCAGGGTTTGGTAAGGATGGCTCATCGCTGGTCTGTATGCGGTCAGCTGGGACAGCTCGATTAGGGCTGTAGAGTTTATTTCCATGATAGCTCACTTGCGTGGCTGGCAAGTTGGTGCTGGGTGTCAACTGGGATTTTAGCTGGAGTTGTCAGCTGGGCCTTGTTGCTCTTCCCTGTAGGCCTTTCTCATGCATATGGCTGTTTGAACCATCTCCCAACATGGCAGCTAGGCTTTGAAAATGAGGAAGCTGAAGTTGCCAGCCTTCTTAAAAATTTAGCCCAGAACTGGCACAATGTTATTTCTGCCCTTTTCTGTTGGACAGGCCTAGTCCAGATTCAAGGAGGTGGAGAAATTGACACTGCCTCTTGGTGGGAGTAGTGACAAAGACTTTGTGGCTATCATTAACCCACTCGAATCTGTTAGAGTTTTTTTAGTATTGAAAAGGCACTCTTGACTTAAGTTATGAGTTGGTGAAAAGTAATTGTTTATCACTTGAAGAAAGGTGCAAGCTCTGGAAGGAGGTTAAAAGAAAATGTTTATGGGGACTGGCCTGGTAGTGTAGCAGTTAAGTTCGCACACTCTGGCAGCCCAGGGCTCGCAGGTTCGAACTATGCACCACTTATCAAGCCATTCTGTGGCAGGCGTCCAGCATATAAAATAGAGGAAGATGGGCACGGATGTTAGCTCAGAGCCAGTCTTCCTCAGCAGGAAGAGGAGGATCGGCGGCAGATGTTAGCTCAGGGCTAATCTTCCTCAAAAAAAGAAAAAAAGAAAAAGTAAAGAAAACATTTACGTATAAAGAGCCTCTTGCTGTCTCTGGAAATTTTTTTTTTTTTAAAGATTTTATTTTTCCTTTTTTTCCGTAAAGCCCCCAGTACATAGTTGTATATTCTTCATTGTGGGTCCTTCTAGTTGTGGCGTGTGGGACGCTGCCTCAGCGTGGTCTGATGAGCAGTGCCATGTCCGTGCCCAGGTTTCGAACAAACGAAACACTGGGTTGCCTGCAGTTGAGCACGTGAACTTAACCACTCTGCCACGGGGCCAGCCCCTGTCCCTGGAAATTTTAAATGTTATATTTCACTGGTGGACTAAAGTCATTTTTCTGGTAGAATTAAATTTTAACCTTCTTCATCAACAGAGTAATATTCTCCAGCTCTTTTTTTTTTTTTTCCTTTTTCTCCCCAAAGCACCCCCGGTACATAGTTATATATTCTTAATTGTGGGTCCTTCTAGTTGTGGCATGTGGGGATGCCGCCTCAGCATGGCCTGATGAGCAGTGCCATGTCCGCGCCCAGGATCCGAACCGGCCAAACCCTGGGCCGCTGAAGCAGAGCACACAAACTTAACCACTCAGCCACGGGGCCGGCCCCCCCAGCATCTTTTATTGTATCAAGATTTGTATGCGACAGAGATGTCTGATGCATTTATATTTCTTAATTGGTCTTAACACTGAACTATTTATTTTTAATAAAATTTGCCTTGACTATTACCAAATGTAGAGAAATAGCTCCCTTCCTCACGCTTCCCTTCTTAAAATAGGGACTAAATGATGTTTAAGAGTTGTGGACAAGGAAAGGCAGACTCTGGGTGCATTGTAGAAATGATTGTGGTAAAGGCAGAGGGTGGATAATGGGACGAAAGAATCTTGAGGTTTTCTATCCTTTGGAGCTTTTGTGTGCAGCTGTTTCCAGATTATCAAGAGAGGACCAAACAGATGGCAGCAGAAGTCTCCTCTGCGTTTGCTTATTTACCCGAATCATCTATTAGGTTAGCTTAACAGGCTAGTAAATGGCTTCCTGAATTTGTTAAGCACTTACATTAGTAAATTTTTCCCTATCCAATTTGGAGCGCTATTTAAAAAAAAAAAAATCAAATTAATGCTCTATGACAATGGTGATTTAACTGAGTTTAAATACATCTTGTAGCTTTAAAATTCATAGAATCTGACTGATATTAAATCTTTGACCTTTAACTGTAGTTCCTATTTTTAACTTTGATTTCATTCTTTTGGGTTTGGTTATGCATTGTCTTGATAGCACTGATAAGTTGTTAGATATTGAAGTAATTTGAATATTTTTCTTTGGTTGTTTGTAAAAATGTTTGGGCAACACTAATTTCCTTACTTGCTTTTAGTTTTACTCTCTCACATCTGAGCAGTTGTCAAATGTGACTATTAATGAACTTTGTGGTTTTTTTTGAGGAAGATTAGCCCTGAGCTAACATCTGCTGCCAGTCTTGCTCTTTTTGCTGAGGAAGATTGGGTCTGAGCTAATATCTATGTCCATCTTCCTCTATTTTGTATGTGGGACACCTGCCACAGCATGGCTTGATGAGCAGTGCCTAGGTTCACGCCTGGAATCCGAACCAGTGAAGCCCGGCTGCCAAAGCGGAGCATGTGAACGTAACTGCTTTGCCACTGGGCAGCCCCCATCTCTCTTTGGTATTTTTATTTATGTTTTTCTTCTTATTCTCCTCATACCTTACCAAATCTAGTGGAGTGACATAGTCAAGAGTGAGATTATGGGTATTTGAATGAGATGATAGATACATGTGTTTATGGTTCTGTGTGAGGAACCTTCCAGCTTTTTCTTGATACTCTCCATCCAGCACCAAACTTCCCTGGCATGATATCATCACCAACAGTTTAGAAAATGATGCCCACACTCTTGGTTTTCAGAAATTATCTTCTTCTGTTTCTTCACAAATTACAATTTTATTTGCTTTGCTATATCCCAGGTCCTTATCAATCCATCAAGCAATTGCTGTGGGTGAACCACTAAAGCCTTTTAGGAGACACAGAGGTGGTGAGGAAATGGGCGTGGTTATTTACTCCTTAGTCTCCAGGCTTCAAATTCTTCTTTCTCAGTCAGATTTGAAAAGTGGGCATGGTTTTCTGAAGGCTTGGACTACACCCTTGTAGAATGGTGGGGGTCTCTGAGTTATTTTGGTACTCTCCCGCCTTCGCAACTTTACCTCACTCATCGTTAATAGGACCTTACTTATTTCAGCGTTTGTACAACCTACTGTATCCTCACTACTTGGAACTCCAGTTGTTAAGAATGTATTCTTGTATATATTTAAAAATTGTCCTTTATTTCCCTTGGGTTCCTACGTAATTTCCTGAATACCTTCCAGATATTTTCAGAATTCTCATTTCCGGGCTAAATAATTTTAATCCTTTCAAGATTTTCTCATATCCCACTTTTCCCCATAGCTTTAGTAAACTGTCCAAATAGTTATATACGTTTACTCTTCAACAGAATTATTGTTTTCCATTTGACCTTCCCTCTGTGAATATTTAAGCAGCAAAATTCATAAAGCATTATTTTCTACCAGTTACTCCTCAAAAATATAATTCATAAAATTATGTAATGTAGGACTTGGAAGGGACCTTTGAAATTATGTAATTTAGAGCCCTCCTCTTGTGCTATTATTGCACATGTAATGCACAGCTTTGATACACAGAATATATGGAATAATCAGAAAAAGGAGGAAACAGTGCTGCATGTAATTGGAGGGTACTTACTCTATCCTTTATACTTCCAGTCTGCCCAGTTTACTGTTTTAATTACAAAATTGCCTGTAGTGCCATTTCATTTCTTTGTAAATTATGTAAATCCTGTCTTTCAGCAAAATCTGCTTATTTGCCCCAAGTGGATATATTTGGGTTTGTGTTATTCTTGATTTTTAACTTTAGTTAACCAACATCATTTTGACTTCCAAAACTTATTTGGACTATCACTTTTTATATTGGTGGCATTTACAAGCTATTTCTAGTTCATCCTTTGCGTTGCCTTTAAAAGATATTCCCATGAAAACTACAAAGTGCTGATGAAAGAAACCAAAGATCTAAATAAAAGGAGAGACGTACTGTGTTCATGGATTGAAAGACTCTCAATATGGTACAGATGACAGTTCTCCTAAATTGATGTCTAAGTTTAACACAATTCCTAACAAAATTCTAGCATGACTTTTGTAGGTATAGTTAGTATTGTTTCTAGAATTTACATAGAAAGGCAAAGTACCTAGTATGGCTAAAACAGTTTGGAGAAAGAAGAATAATGGGATAGTCACTCCCCAGTTTTAAGACGTTATGCAGCTACAGTAATCAAGACTATGGTATTGTCAGAGAGACAGACGAATAGATAAATGCAACAGAATAGAGAACCCAGAGGTAGCCTCATACAGGTATAGCCAACTTATTTTTGACAGAGGTGCAAAATTAATACAGTTTGTCTTTTCAACAGGTGATGTTAGAGAAGTTGGATATCTCTGGGCAAAAAAATGAACCTCAACCTAAACCTTAGACATTATATATAAAGTCAAAACAGGTCATCACTTTCAATGTAAACCATAAAATTGTAAAACTTTTAAAAGAAAACATAGGATAGAATCTTCAGGACCTTCGGCTTGGCAAAAAGATCTTAGCCATGACACCAGAAGCATGAACCATAAAAGAAAAAAAAATAGATAAATAGGATTTCATCAAAATTGAAAATTTTTGCTCTGTGAAAGACTGTTAAAGGGCGAAAAGACAAGCTATAGACTGAAAAAAAATTTGGAAACGCTATATTTGACAAAGAACTCTATCAAAATATATAAAGAACTCTCAAAACTTAACAGTAAAGAACTCTAGTCTCCCTAGAAAAAGGGCAAACAACATGAAGACACATTTCACTGGAAAGGACATATGGATGACAAATGAACGTAAGCCCATGTGGACACTGGTCATACAATCTAGCAATTGCGCTTCTGCGCATTTATCCCAGAGAACTGAAAAGTTAGATGTGCATTAAAACCTGTACAAGAATGTTCATAGCAGTTTTATTTATAATAGCCCAAAACTGTAAACAGCCTACTGTTCGTTAACAAGTGTGGCTAAACTAACTGTGGTACGTCCACACTATGGAACTCTTTGCCGCAATAGCAAAGAACACAGGATTGATACTTTTAAGAGCTTGAATGAGTCTCAAGGGCATTATGCTGAGTGGAAAAAGCCGATCTCAGAAAGTTTCCTACTGTGCAATTCCACTTAGGTAGCATTCTGTAAATGACAATGTGATAGAAATAGAGAACACATAAGTGGCTGCTAGGGTCTAGGGCTGATGGGGAGAAGCATGTTGGGTATGACTATACAGGGGTAGCATGAGGGAGCTCTTTGTGGTGATGGAATTGTTCAGTATCTTGATTGTGGTGGCAGTGACATAAATCTGTACGAGTGATAAAATGGCGTAGAACTAAACATACGCATTGTGCCAGCGTCAGTTTCCTAGTTTTGATATTGTACTATAGTTGTATACAACATGATCATTACGGAAAACTGGACCTGCCTGTACTATTTTTGCAACTTCCTGCCAGTCCACAATTATTTCGAAATAAAAAGTTAAAAATAAAAGATATACTCAGACTTTAGACCTGTGGTGTCTACTAGCCCTGGGTTGCTTTTAAAATTTAAATTTAAATGAATTTAAATAAAACAACTTCAGTTCCTTGGTCACACAAGCCATGTTTCAAGTGCTCATGTGGCTATCTTATCAGATAGCGCAAATATAGAAAATTTCCACCACCACAGAAAGTTCAGTCGGCAGTTCAGCTTTGGGCAAACCCCTCTACGTTGCCAAGTGCTATGTGTGTGGGTACCTTTGGATTTCTTAGCGAACTGTCTTAAATTTGTAAACGAAAAGATAATAGTCTGTACTAGTGAAATTTAAGTAGAAGAAATGGATTTAACATAACACTTTTTTTAAAGACTCAATTTTTGAGGCTATCTCCCGTATTTTAATAAGAAAAGGAAATGAAACATTTGCTTCATGTTTGAAATTGGAATAAGGTTTTTTTCCTTATCTGCCAAGGCAGTTGCAATTTCTTTCCATGATCACAATATAGAATATAGAGGAAACGGGCAAACTAGAAGGATGGACAGGTAGGGGAAAGAGAGATCAGCAGGAAAAGTATTGTAAATATCCCATACTTTCTATTGTTATTTTCTGTTTCTTAATGACCAGCTTACTAGTGGTGGCGTACCATTGCAGAGGAAGCGGGGTTTAGCAACCAGGCCTTAAACCAGAATTCTATTTCTGACTCAAAGTGACCGTGAGGAAGTGACAAATTCACTCTTCTCCTTCTTATAACCGATAAGCAAGTTAAGATAAAACCAACTATTGCTCGAGTGGACTACAGGATGAGTGATTCTAAAGTGATCCCACTATTTTAGGTTGTGTGTAAAACTACTTGCTTACAAGTAGATTAAATGCAAAGCTTTGAGGAATTTAGTTTTAAAAAAAGTCCCGTGAGGTAGGAAGAGGTAGCTCGCTTTACCAGACATGAACTGCTTTGAGTTTGGGAGTTAAAAACGAAACAACTCAGACACAGAGTGAAAATTTTTCTTATTCCATTCTAGGTCAATTTGAGAAAACTTTGGGAGAATAAGCAGACATTTTGCATTTGAAAGATGGGAGTTTGAAGTTAAGCCGTCCAGGGTTTGAATTGCAGCTCTGCCAGTTACTCTCTGGAAATGTTATTTAGCTCTAGTTCTCAGTTTCACAATCTATAAAATGGGGCTAATAACGCCTACCATTAGGGTGGTTATGAGGATGACACGTAATAAGTAGACAGCTGTAATGACGAATGATAATATTGATTTGATCAAGACATGGAATAGAATGATGGTGGTGTTAGGAGCAGAAATAGCTTTGTTTATTCTCCTTTGTGGAGATTTATTTTAGCCACGTAGTAATGGGTTTGGGGTAGGGGGGATGTTGCTCATTTTCACTTTATAACAAATTGGTTCATATCGTGGTTCCTAAAGCCATTCTCGAATTTAACTAAATGTATGTGAGGCTAAATTGATCAAAATCACTTGATTTAAAGCCAAGAAGGGATAAATCTGCTTTTATAAAATCTAGCAGACTGAAATATAAGCAGCAAACTAAAAAAAAAGCATACATTCATGAGAGAAATTTTATTTCAGTGAAATCCCGGCAACATGTTTCTATAGCTAAATCCACATAATAGCTGAATGAACAGTGAAAAGTTTTAGTTAATTGTAAAGATATATGAAAATCTGTAGTGTACAGTGTTAAATTATCAGAAAATATTCCATATGAATTTTCTTTTTCTTTGCCTACTAAACTACTAAAACATTGAAAAAGAGGGCAAGCACCTGAGCCAGCATACTCATTAGGATCTTTTTGGCTCAGGTTCCCTGTAGCTGAGTGAGGCCGTTCCAGTTTTAGCCAATAGTTCATTGGTATGTGGTCAGTTTGAAGTTTCCAGCTGTACTCCTCTGAGCTAGAGAGAGGGAACAAAAAATGCTGACATCCTCATTGACTTCATCACTCATGCCCGAGCACATACACCAACACTTCCTGTGCCAAACCTACTCTGGCTCTGCAGAGGACACCCCAGGCCTCAGCTGACTTGGGTGGGTTGGACTGGTGAAGTTGGGAAAGCATTAGCCCTCAGTTGGATACCACCACACTATGTGAACATGCCGTGTCTCATTACTACACCTTTCACTTCACAGAGACCAGCTTTCAAAGCTTCTAATAATAACATTCATGGACAGCTAGTGATTGTTGCAGGTGGGTTACCAGCTCTCAAAATCACCACCCTCTGAAAAGTATTATATTGGACGACAGCATATTTAAGAAAGAGTTAATTTAGAAATATGCCGTGGAAATTGCACTGAAAAAAATCTATCAGAAGATCTGAATTATATATAGCTTGTCTCCCTAATATCAATAAGGCTGCATCTATCCTGCCGAACCACACCTGGTGTCAGTTTTCTTATCCATACCGTGGGAGGGTTTCTAAATTTCTAAGACTTTGTGATTTTAGTGTGTGTTTTTCCAGGTAGTTTCCTCCATGTTTCCACTTGTTGGTTCATAAACTACATTAAATGTTTGTTTTATTCTACCCATCAAAATTTCCTCAAGTATTGTCAGGTACTTAAGGTAATACCCTATTTTCAGTTTGTTGTTCTTTCAGAAATAGTAATTTGAAGAAGTGATATTGTAAAGTTAAACTGCCTCTGGGTATTATAGTTTGATTCTGAGTACCACGTCTAAATATCACATGAAAGGGAAATTAGACTTTGGATTATTAGGTAAATGTTGAATCCACGTGATGATAAACCTTTAGGTGTTTTAAGAAGTCTATTATGTGATATTTTAACTAAAATATTGACTTTAATCAGTAATTTTCTCTTATAAACATGGCAAGGATGAGAAATTCACTCATTGGTGCCTTTCCTCCTTTAAATCCTGATGTGTTTTTAGGAAGAAGTTATTTGGGAGTGCTAGGTAACCTGGGAAGGAAATAGAAGGCCCTTGTGCTTTGGGGGAGATGGAGAGTTTAAACATGGTTTTGTTATTCAGCGTTTCTTATGACTTTCTAATAATCATGAAAAAAAAATTCTAAAAATCCTTTAAGACCCATTTTTAAAGGATAGTTTGCTATAAATCTACAGGCTGTCACTACAGTAAAATCACATGTAGTTGACCCCATCCTTCCCACTCCAACACAGTGTTTTAGAACTCTCTCACTACATTTTGAAATACCTTCATTGAGTTTTGAAATGCCTTACTTGCGTAGTTCTTTGAGGCTCCATCACTGCTAGAAGAAGAATTATGAAATGTAGCTCTGCACTTCCCGTTAGTTCTGTCCCATGTCGAACAGAAGATGTGCGCGTGTCTGGTGTCTAAATTCAGAATGCCTGTAGATTTTACCCACAAAGCATAGATCCAGATAATTCTTCCACAAGCAGGAAAGAAGTATGATTAATCAGAAGAGTAAAAGGCACTGCCGGATGCTGCTTGAAAGGAATCCTATATGGGGATCTGTGAGTATTGTTATTTTTGCAGTTTCCATTTCTGAACTATCTTGGGTTAAAAACATTTGAATTTTGTGAGTATATAAAGTGTATGAGTAGATGAAGTAACTGGTATTTGTCTTTTTGTTTACTAAATGATAAGTAAGTCATATCATTATTGAAAAATCATCATGGGGCTTGTTTAGAATGGATTCATGCTGTGATTTTGGCACAAAGGTGTACTTTTTCTTATTTTTGTGGCCCAAGTATGATGACTTGAGGTACCGGCGTTTTTCCCTGTGGACTCAGCAGGACAGTGAAAGTGCACTGTGCTTGAAGTGCAATCACTGTTGCCCTTTCTTATCCGAGACTTTTTATCATAACCTCCTCCCTCCTATTTCTAATTTCTATTTCTCCTCCTTTCTTCTAATATATAAAAGCTATACTTCACCCAGTGTCTTAGAACTTATTTGGGCACTTAAGAGTCTCTTGATCATCAGTTATTTGGGGATAAAATTCCCTCTAGTTCTAAAACATTAGCAAGATATATTGGTAATGCAGAAGTTTAAGGATTTCTTCAAATTACATATGGTTTATTAGAATCTGACGTCTAGTTGACTAGATCCTTCTATCATTGTGCCTTTAATGTTCTCTTGGTCTTTTATATTTAACTGAAAAACCGTTTTAGGTGAAAGTCTTTGTTCAGAAATACATTTTTAAACATATTTTTTGGGGTAGTAAGGAGAAAGATAATAAACATCCAGGTGTAATACTGGTGATATGTTGATGTGTTTTTCCTCTTTGTATCTGTTGTTGTGTAAAGTTGAGTTATATTGTACATGGATTTTTTTTTATCATACTTTCCCTCTCCCACACAACATTAAATTATTTCATGTTACTGAAAGTTCTTCGTAAAAATTCAATAGCTCTATGATATTCTGTTACAAAGTAGTACTATACTTTGGTTAACACATCCTCTATTGTTGGATATTAAAAATTTTTCAAGATTTTGGATTATAAATAACTGTAAGAACATCACCATTTTTAAAGATTATCTTGCAAGGAGCATGGGGCGGGGGGAATCCCATTGTACTTGTATTCTTGATTTAAGATATAAATAATAGCCTGATCTTAGAATTTTAAGGACAAAACATTGAATTAGGATCTGAAACAAATGTATTGGGTGCCGTGTTTGTTTAAGTGTATGGACTTCACATTTTATCTTTGACTTCTGTGTGGCAGACAGTCTATGTGCTAGCTATTTTTCAAATGTGGATTACATTGCTTTCTTCATTGAGACAAACTGGAGTGGGTTCTGTAGAACTTTAGCAAATTGGTGGGTCATTGAGGAAAATTGAAAGAAGGCTTTTCTAACTAAGGCAGGTTCTTCTTTGCCACCTCATGTGAATGGAAAACTACATCCATGCTTACAGGATAAATTAAGCATTGTGAAAATACTGGTGCCTGGAAAAATACAGATTCACAAGGCTTTGGCCAAACTTTTTCTTTGTGTCACTAGGTTAGAAATGGCCTGAGAGTCTCCCAATAATTCAGCCACAGAAGAAAGAAAAAGCTTGTTGTTCTTCATTCCCATTGTATAGAGCCCCTATGTCACAGACTTGCACCAAGATGGAGTACTGACCATCCCTGTGGAATGAATGGACCTGAGTTTAGAGTACTTTGATTTACTTATAAATTCTTAAATGTATCTTCTATTTAAAACTTTATAGGCATGATAATAAATTGTAATAGAATAGAGATAGCTAGGGTAATATGAGGATACAAGCAAAATATGGAAGTTTGGAGGCTTATCTTCAGGTAATTATTTTGGATCAGAAACTTTGATTCCCAGATTTTGGGGGATTTATTTTTCCTTTGCTCTACCTCTGTCTTTGCCTCGCTAGTTTGGATGATAATACAAGTTAGTATCCTGACTTTTCTTTATAAATGAGTAAAGTTTTATTGAATATGTGTTATACTTAGAAATAGTCATTTCTCCTAATTTTTATTGTAGCTTCAAAATTCAGTATCTGTTTGCTACTAAATGCCAGATTATGTATATGCATAGATATTTTCCTTTAAAAAGAAGTCAAAGTGTGATTTATTACCAGACTTCTTTGTTTTATTCTCTAATGACAAGAATGAATAGATTTATTTGTAAGACTAAAGGAGATTCAGGATTTGGCTGAAAACAACGGTAGTACTGGGGGGAGGCTTGCCCCCATTTTCTGTCTTTTGTTTTTCAGGCGTCCGAACCTGCGTGTGCTTCCCTTCCGAGTGTGTGTACAGTGCATGTAGTATTCTAAGGACCAACTTTGTAACTGAACCAGGTGGACTCCTGTCCAGCAGTTGATACACTTCCTGGCATTTCTCCTGCCCATTTGTTTCATCTTTCCAACTCATTTGATCCTCTGGCATTAGAGATGACAGCTGCAATTGCAAATGGGGTTCATAAAGTAGCTGTATTATAAAATGCCGTGCCCTGGTTCTTGTGTAGTTCCACTGATGACAGAGTTGGCAACTCAGAAATGCTACAGATTTGTTTGACAGGTCAGGTGGAAACATTATCTTTATTTTACGGAATGAGAGTTTATGTATAAAAAGGACTGGTAATTGACGTGGAGAGGTATAAATTACGTCTGCTAAATACTAGTCTTCCTGTTTCCTGAGCACCTTTTAGACACGGTGCTTTGTGTTATACGTTCATTATTTCTAATCCTCAGAATAAGACCCTCTTTTTTGGGTCGAGAAAGCAGACTCAGTGAGGTTATATACTCATATCTTCATATTTAGTGTTGCATGGTAAATAGCAGAACTGGAATGCGAGTGCAAGATCATCTGTTTCCAAAGCTTGTAGCCTGTCCATTACACAGTAATTTGTTTTATTTCTTTGTGAGTAGTATTTTATTTCCATTTTGCTGTTGATGGATATTGACTATTATGATGAAAGGTGCTATGAACGTTATTGTACATGTCTTTTGGTGGAATTATGGGGTCATGGGGTATGCATGTGCTCAACTTTAGGAGATGTTGCCTCACAGTTTGTATAGTGTGTGAGTTGTCTAGTTGTTACACTTCTTTTCCAGTACCCTCTGTTGGTTTTTTAAAAATTTAGCCATGTGGCAGGTGTCAACTTATATCATTTTGTGATTTTAATTTGCGCCTCTGATGATTAATGATTTTTATATGCTTATTGGAGAACTTCTTTTATGAAGTTCTCAATCAAGACTTTTACCCATTAAAAATAATTGAATTATCTTTTTTATTTGTCTGAGTTCTTTATATATTCCAGGTACTAGTCCTTTGTCCAAATTATGAGTTACAAATATTTTTTTCTCCTGTAATGCTTTCTTTTTTATACTTAGTGGTGTCCTTTGATGAACAGTGTTATCCAATTTCAGTCTTTTCCCTTAAAGTTAGGTCTCTATTCTTTTTAAAACACCTTTGCCCATCTAAAGATCATAAAGAGGTTTTCCTATAGTACTTCTAGAAGCTTATTGTTTATTTATTTATAATCGTTTGACCTTTCGCATTTAGGTCTATGATCCATCTGAAATGGGTTTTTGTGAAAGATGTAAAGTTTAGGGGGTCAAGATTTATTTTTTGAGCCATGTGGATATCAAGTTGATTTGGCATCATTTAGTGAAAAGATTGTCCTTTGCCCACTAATATCTCAGTGACAACTTGATTTTAAGGTTTTGACTGAGAATTCTGACATTTCACACTTCCATCTAAGCCATCTCAAATTCTTTTTCTTGTTTTACTTAAGTCATCTCAAGTATGGACCATGTTTTCTATTTCATCACATCTCACCTAATGTAGTGCTCTGTACACATTGTAGGAAAGAGTAGAAAATTTCTGAGTCGTAGAAAGATTTTTCCTATTGGGATGGCAGCGGTTGGCGTATACATCACTGCAGGGGAAGGTGAGGGAATGCGTTCACATTGCTGGATGGGAGCAATTTGTGTGTTGTTTCGAGGTGAAGTCGTCTGAGCTGCACTTTTCCCATAAGTTTCTTTCCACTAAAAATTACGGAGGTTTGGATTATAGTCCCTCTCACTGGATTGAAAGCAAGTATCAGAGGAATCATTCATTCAAAACAGCATTCTTTATTTGCACTATCTGATGTGTACTTTTGTGCTCAATAAAGCTACATACTGTTCACCACAGTGGGGACTCTTTTTTTCTTTCATTGATTCTTCTCAATAGCTAATTTGATTTTTAAGCACTAAGAAAGGATTCCATGAAAGGCTTTTTGTTTTGGCCATGATGGAGTAATGGATATTGGAATACCCTCCTGCCATAAAAAATTACAAAACTGGGAAAATATATGCAGCTTTATATGCTTATATTAGAAAGAAAAGAAATTTTAGCATAATTGATCTGAATTTCTACCTGAAGAATTTAGAAAAAGAGCAAATTAAACTGAAGGTAAGTAGAAGGAAAGAAATAATAAACATAAAAGTGAAAACTATACAATAGAGAACAAACAGTAGATAAAAGAAACAAAAAGTTATTTCCTTGCAAAGTTTAATAAAATTGATAATTCTCTATTAAGACTGATCAAGAATGAAAGACACAATTCCAATATCAGGATTCCTATAGACATTAAAAGGATAATAAGTATTATGAACAGCTTTATGCCAATAAATTCTACAGCGTAGATGAAAGAGACAAATTCCTTTGAAAGACAAGCTGAGTAAAACATAACAGACCATGAAGAAATAGAAATTTGAATAGTCCTCCATCTACTAAAGAAATTGATTTGGCAATGAAAAATCTTCTAACAAAGAATGTCATGATGCTGCTGGCCCAGGAACCCCCCTTTTTTTTAATTGAGGTTATGATAGTTTGCAACATTGTGAAATTTCAGTTGTACATTATTTGTCAGTCACCATATAGGTGCACCCCTTTACCCTTTGTGCTCATCCTCACCCCCCTTCCCCCTGGTAACCACTAAATAGTTCTCTTTGTCTGTGTGTTTGTTTATCTTGCACGTATGAGTGGAATCATACAGAGTTTGTCTTTCT